ATTTATTTTCAAATATTTAAGGGACCTATATTATATACGCTTGCCCACACTCGCACTGCAGGATGCAATAATCGCGGGACTATGCAGCGCTGTTCAAAATTAATCTATTTTTTATATTGAATGCATCTAGTTCTGCGTTGTTAACCCCCCCAAAAAAGGAGCCACTTTCAAGTTTAGGGTTTTAGCAGTGAAGTTGTCGACTTTGAATGTGGTCACACGTACGCCGCCTTATGAACTATCACATTAATGTATTTTTATATCTCAAGAAGCCGACCGGTCTGAAGTTGCCTGATTACGGAAAGTGGATGTCGCCCAACGAATTCTGTTCGAGCCTCTCTCAAATGTAGATAACACAATCTGGTATGAAACAACACAACTAAAATACAAAACGATCTCTTTTTGTTTGTAAATTTAGAATATTAAAAATGAATTATACCCATTTAAAGGATAAGGCAAGTTAATTAATAACGAGAATACTAATTATTTAAACTTTATAAATGTATCACCCCTCTATTCACTGATGTGAGTAGGTATTCCAAAGAAATGAATTTTTGTAGCCTTCTAAAGTTTTTGGCGAGACCGGCGTGGGGCCGCAAGGACACCATAATTAAACTACTCATTGCACTTTTAATATTAGAGCTTAATGGTCGATTTATAATCCGTTATGAAGTGAGGCACTCTACGGGACTCCAGCAGTGCATCAAACTTAGGGTTCGTTTACAATTTTTGTGATTCAGACACAAATCTAAAGCGTGAAATACGACCTTTTGTACCTGTAACACCGAGAAACGTCACGTCCTCACCTTAGTGAGAACCCAGTAAGATATCCACAGATAATCATACAGGTAAGTAGAATGTGACCACCTTTTGAATAAAGCAATCCATTTGCCAACTGCGCCTAGCTTTACGCTGCTCCTTCGCCAACCTTGTTTGGGTTTAATCGTCTCCACCGCGTTGTTGCGCCATCCGTTTACTTCTCCCATTGCCCCGCTCCGATCAAGGAGGTAAAAGCCACCGTGGTCGAAGCCCAGCCCCGAGACGGCAGGGCCGATATGTATTTACCCGGCGCCCTTTCGCTGATTACGGCGAACCTCCCTCACACGCCAGACTTGATTGGAAGTCGCTTGTTTCCGATTCCCGCCGATCCCCGGAACAAGCTTGGTCTCACCGGGATCGCCATGGCCCGCCGCCGGCGGTATACCACTTTGCGCGGATATCTCTCTGCACTCCTAGCCGCGTATTGTCGGGTCGGGCCTCCAGTGTTCCCGCGCTGGCCTAGGGCGGCCTCACTCGGCAGATATACTCCTCTTCGTTGTGGTCTCTTAATTCATTGCCTCGGTTTCGCCTCCTGCCTCTACGTCTGACATCCTTGCGGCTCTGATAAGCCGGACTGTTCTCGTTGCCTTTTGGCCCTGGCGTTCGCTCACCACTTTAGCGCGTTCGGTCCGTTTTCGTTTATGTGCTTAACTTGTCACGTAAGGTGCTGCCTTAATTCCTTTCTTTTTGATCGTGGGCACGTTACTATAGTAGCGAAGCAGATAGGCCATCCTCCGATTTAATTTAACCACTCTCAGTGATTTGTCTTACTTGTGGTATATTTTATCAGTAATTTATGCTGATTGGACTTCGCGACGAAAGCGTACATTTAGCTAGCTTTCGAAACACGCGAAGAGAGAGATCATTTAAGAGGAACGATGCGCTACGATGTTTACACGTCGTTCGAAGCAAGATTCTAGTTAAGGAGCAGTTAACTATGGCGGTTACGAAAAGAGAAATGATTATACCAACCTGACTCCTATGTATGCTCACCTTTTCATTCCTGAAAGTTGCACGCTTTTTTTTTTTTTTTGCACTTCGCACTACTCTCGCGTACGCGGCCGTTTTTGTTGATGCCTCCTTTCTGTGGAAACACCTCAACAATTCGAACATGCCACAGTTTGGGAAATAGCCCCCTCAAGAACATGGGTAACATGTGTCCCAAGAAAAAGCATTCAGTTCTAAATAGTATAATTGGATGTAATCGATATTATAAAAAAATACTATTGCGAGGTAAAGTATGTCTTACCGATCCAGAGGCTCAAATTCGAGCCGAGTTGCTAGCATTCTGATGGAGGTTTATTCCGGAGAAGGCGTCGTGTAAACGAGATCTGATTAGCTATCAAAATATATGCTCACCTGGTAGACATTCAACATGAGTCTTTCGCTGCCGCGTGACAGCTGCCCCCCGTTGGATTAGTAAATAAAACCCACAAATATTATGAAAAATGCAAATGAATATTGGCAGTTTTACAGAAAACAAGCGTAGTTTCAGATTTGGGGTGATTTAGGTAGACAGTTTATCGCACGCATGTAAAAACTATGGCAATATATATATTTTGTTGATTATCTCGAAGTTCGCCCCTGTATATGCATTTGCAAATTTGTGAAATTGCAAACATTCCCATCAGACCAGTGAGTATTTTTTTCGAGCTCGAATTGGTCATAACATCCACGTTTCGAAGGATCAATAGCTATTTTGAACACAAACTAACATATTACACAATCCCCCCAAAACACTAGTATCATTACATTAAGCGCAGAGAAAAGCATGCACGACAGCTAAGATAACGTCCTTTTCAATGGAGCGAAAATCGCTCTGAGCGCGGTGTTTACGTTCCTATGGCGGATGTTTTAAACTTTTAACTTATAATAAATCCACAAAGTGCATTGTGATTTGATTAATCTTTTTTGAAATTGCATTTCCATTACTTTTCCTTACTATATTGCTATATGTTGTTTAGTGGAACCAGAATTGAAAGAAAAGAAGGAAGCTGTGTTAGTCTGTTTAAGCCATCGAGCTATGTTGGGGCCATGGGGTATACTGCGTGCGTTCTTGCAGCCACATATTGCAAGTACACACACTCAACGCTATACCGCGGAAGAGAAATATCGGAAGAGGTTGGATAAAAATTGTTGCGTTTTAACCGAGCATTGAGGGCGCTGGCGTGTGTCACCAACGAGGCGTAGGCTGCTGTAGGCAAGGCAGCAGAAATTTTAATATAGTATATATTATGTCAACAATCATTAAATATATATAAAAAAACATTTTGTTAATTAGAGAAGATAATCCGGATTAAACAATTAGCTATTCTCAAAATGTTGGGCGCCTTTGCTCAAATGTCTTTTCGTAAGTCGAGCAATGTCAAAAGATCTAAGGTATTCACACAATCCGAAATGACGCTTTAGAATTTTTGATACAATCGAGACAATAACTAGACTGGTGAAAGCAAGAATAAAATTGTCATGGCTAAACATTCAGTCCAAGTTGGTTCAAAACTAAAGAAATCTGAATAGTCTTCTATTTTCGGAGGTCTATTTGTGGACATAAAATACCATCTCTTAGTGCATGTTCCTTAGGGTACGGTAGGACAGAATAACCAGTGAGTCGCTTCCGAGAAATATATGTAACAATAATGTTTTCCTTAATAGCTTCATGGACTATGTTAAGTGTTATACCATTATGTGTACTTTATCATATAATATAAGCAAAAACATTTTGAAACTGTTGTTAAAAGCTTCAGCTGAATCTTTTTTTTAAAATACTTTTAGGCATATTGCAAACATAAAAAAGAAAAAGATCGTCGCGGTTTCTTTGATGGGAAACATTTGGACATTCGCAGCGACATTTTGAACTCATTTTAGTCCAATGCTAGAATAGTCCTTGTGCTTGTTTGTTTGGTTTTCCTCTCTACCGTTCCTGAGAAACGATCTGCATGTACGGTACCCCTTGAATCCGCGATGAGGGAAAACTGTATATAAGCGTTGGAAATGTATTATATATATATATGGAAAATATTTGTTAAAATACTTTTTGTAGAAACATGTTCTTCATGGCAGAGAGTATATCTAACTTTGGTCAATAAAGGTGACCAGTTATAGATGGCAACATATCGAAAAAAAACTCCCAACAATATAAATACACGGGCACTATTTTTCTCTTGGGAAAGTGGGGGGGACTATTCTCTGCTACTCGCCACATCCATAGACTATTTTACCAATAAAATTAGTGAACTGCGTGAATGTTCTGAAAGTTACTATTATTGCTCTTTTTTATGTCCGTTCTACAGTATATCTTACAAAATACCTAAAATATTTGGACGTGAGAGGCATAATATAACAAGTATTATCTAGAAACGCCATCCAACGGTACCCCCTTGTCTGCTACATAGCGCAGTAAGAGGGGCGTGTCAAGATCTTAGATTACACTTTTAATATGGAAATAGGAGGCCCATGAGTGTAACTTTGGTTTCCTAGCATGCTCAGATACGGTAGATTGATTTATCACCACAAATAGGCGATCTCAGAATAAACTTTAGTGCCCCTTTAAGAGTGTAGCATTAAACGTCATGACAGTGTCACCAAAACATCAATATTTCAAGATAAATACAGGCAGGCTATAGTTCCGTAGCTCTCCTCATTTTTTTTATTTTGAATAATGCAGGGCATTACGTTTTTCTTTCTACAAAAATTGTTTAACTGGAAAAAGTATCCTGCACTCGCCATTTTATCAGGTCTAAACCTTATATATACAATTAGCTGACATGGTTCATTTGACATTCCGAAGTTAATTTTTTTCTGAGCGCTCCTCTAGAACGCCTAAACCATTACGTGCTTCGTGCGCATTAGAAAACGTCAGATGCACGTAATAGAGTAATCCAAGAGTAAACGAAGGCTGAAGGTCAGTTTCTTCGCTCCGATAATACTTTCGACAAAATTAGGCGAAAATTCGTATTTAGGGTGTTGCTCTGTCTTACTTTAACGTGGGACTTTAACGCATTATTTTTTGTGGAATTGATTTGGCAATCGGGCTGCCATGTGGAGGTACACAACAAAGCGCTCGTCGGGACCAGAGTTAAGAAGCGAAAAAGATGTGCTCAAACTTTCTATCTATAGCCAATTGGCAATGCTTCGACGAATGACGTGCATTCACGTTTGTCCTTCCTTTTTTTTTTTGGTATTAGGTGGACCGCCGAGACCGGCTTCTACGCACCCTAGTGCGCAACCTCTACTCGTACCACCAGCAAGAAATCCTGTTGACGATCGTCAACGAGTACACTGACTGGACCAGATCGGTTCAACACCCCGTCAGCATTCTCGAGGAGACTGCGGAAGCCCTCAGCGATGCCCTTGTCGTCGCACCTGTCGTCGAGGCCGGCAGTCTCCACGCTGCCGCGACGGCACGTCGAGCTGCCGCCGCGACGTCTGGCTCCGATCCCGACACTCGCCGGTCGAGCACGCACTTCTACCTCTTCGGCTACCACTCGGACGAGTCGTCGTTCGCCCAGAAGAACGGCTGCGTGCACGGCGAGGACCTGCCGTACGTGCTGGGGCTGCCCGTGCTGGGGTCCGGCGCGCCACTGTACGGGAACTACACCAGGCAGGAGGCCGCGCTCGCCGAGACCACGATGGCCTACTGGGTACGCTTCTTCCGGACCGGGTAAGTGTGCGGTAAAAATGTTTCGAGGGCCCGGCTGACGGTCACCGGAGACTGAAGAACAGTTGAGGGGTATGTGACTTAGGAACAAAACGAAACTGGGAGGGTTAAAATTGTTGTTGCCACTCCCCCGGTTTCACTTATGAAGCCTCTGTCGTCCTGATACGACGAGCTCACACTCTGGGAGGAGGAAAGGTCCAGGAAATTAGGGCAGGAGGTCTGCTGAACAAGTCCTAGATAGCAAGGCCGTAGCACTACGTTTTCGGCCTCTTCTACAAGAAGTGAACAGGGGGGGGGGGGGGGGGGGAGGAGCGATATAGGGCAGGAGTGCTCTATTAGTGTTCGAATGGGACTTGTGTTTGCACTGCTTCAACAGCAGCCGGACGCTGGTGCCGCACTCGTCTGCAATCACCAAACCGTCTTATCAAGCAGACGTCGAAAATTTGGAGCCACCGCCATGTTGTTTATGAGATGAAATCAGGCCTGCTTTTGTGGCCGCTCTTTTCACTAATAATAATTTCACACTATTTATTACAGTGAGAATGTTGTGGGCCTTTCCCGAATTTCAAAATGATTATGAGTATTAGGGCGTACGTCTTCGACATCACCAAATCGACCGTTTCGATTTTTGATTCGTCGGCCTTGGTTTCTCATGCAAGGCAAGGATGGGTTTCTTTGCCTTGCATGAAAAAATAATACCAAATATCCATGATAACCAGTGACTGGAAGATGGAGGAAGAGGGGAACGGGGTGTTGGTCCTGATAGGGAACGCACTGGAGTGTTTTAGGGGCTATATAAATGCTTAACAAGGGATAAGGTCTTATCTATATGTAGGATTACACAATATAACTTTCTACTCCTCCCTTCCATCTCACTCATGAACTGACTTTTAATTGTTTCTTGTTTCGAGTTTAACAATTATTGTAGCCAACTGATAGTAGTAATGAAGCGTGTCCTTGCCTAAGGTTACATCATCAGTGGTAGCTGGGTATAATAAAGGGCAGTGCAGGCAGGTCATATAGTTTGAGGAAAAAGGCATTGTCAAAAAGGCAAATAATCTTGCGCCAAATCAACCGTTACTCAGCGGTATATATATGAAATATTACTAGTGTAAACTGAAATTTAACAACCACATTTGAGTAAGAGACGCTCTACGGGCAAACAACGCGCTATATATATATATATATATATTTTTTTTTTTTGCTTCGGAACCCAGCGACGAGACTGTCTTTTATTTCGCGTATACACTTGCGGATTCGCACGGGGATCCGCGCATACAAAAAGTTGTGTTTAGCGCCGGGTGGCGAAATCAGCTCGTTGCTCGCAAAACAGTCGGATCAGTCCGGGACCCATATCGAGATTTTCCGCCAGCAACGAGTCGATTTCGTTTCCATTCTCCAAAAGTCACTTTCCGCCTGCGGGAATCCGCCCGCGAATTCGCAAAACTAAACGCGCCATTAGAACTTCTTGTATAAACTGGCCGAAATCTCACCTCCGGCAGTTGCTTCAGCTTTAGTATGGAATCTTACACGCTCTCAGAGACCTTTTCTCATCGATTAAATTTGAACTGCTCGAACATCAGCGCGTCTGTGGGGCAGTAGTGGTTCGGTTGTATGAACACAAGAAACATATTTTCCTCTTGTGTAGCCTGAACTACTAAAGGCTTGAGCACCTTGTAGGCATGCGCAGGAATCACCGCATGAAATACTGGTAGCTCGTTCGCTTCCGCATCATCATTTGCAGTGATACAGTGCTGGAACATTTCTAGCTACAAATCATGGTTGCGGTTTTTCGTCCAACTTGTCTATCTTCTCTAGCTGTCACAGAGAATTCTATAGCAAATTTCACCTATTGTTTGGTAGCCGCCCCTACTGCGATGGAGTATGCTTATCCCTGCTTCGATGATCCCTGAAGAAAGCGTCGACGGCAGCTGCTTTTTGGGAACTTTGTTGTGCACCATTGCTTTGCTGTGCTTGGTCCCGTCGGTGAGCCTACTCTTGGTTTTATCTGCCCGTTCCGGATACAGCTCCACTCTGGCCTTTGTAATTCCAACTTCGTCGCCGGTCTGACATATTGCAGATTGGAAGCCAACGATCAACAAGACCTTATTGAATATCGACACTCATAATAGCCGCCGTTATCCCTGAAGACATCTGCATCCGCTTCTGGCCGCTCGCCTGACAGCGCACTTCGACACCACGTTATGACATAAAAAAATACCCATGCTCCTTCACGGGGAGAGCAAGCTAAACAATGAAGGAAGAAGAAACATAAAAGAAAATGGTTCGCTGGACTATCAACTCTTTTTAAAAAATCGTCCTACTATTCTATTCTAAAAGTTCTTATGCGTATTCCTTTGCTTCTTTTTTTTATCACGAATCGTGTTTTTTTTTTCTTTCTATTTATACTCAGTTGTAAGGGTGCCCTGCAGAAAGAGCTTTTCTTGAGTTTGCGGGCTTAATGAGCCGGAGCTCAGAGTTTTTTCCCTCTCCTATAGACAAGCCATCCAACATCTCCCTTGCAAACGGGTTTTTATGGTGCCATGTAATGCGTAATGGCTCAAGCTTTGCTTTGCATTTGTAATATCGACAACGGGCAGCGAGGTGTCGTGGTCCCGTAAGGTTTTTTAGGTTGGCTACATTCTTACGAGGGCGGTCGTTTATGATAACCCGGTCTGTCAAAACGGTATGTTGTAAACGACTCCCCTTTGCCGCGGAACGTAGCTTGTCCTGTGTCTGGTGTCACACTTAGCTTTTTTTGCGGTTTGTGCTTGATTGATATTGCGATATTGAGGCATAAGTAATAAGCCGTATTGAGTGGCGAGCAAACATCATGAATGGTCTGCCAGTTCACTATCGTTTCAATTTGTGGGCGACCCCATGATTATACGAGACCACTGCAAAGGTCCCAAAAATAGGAAAAAAAAGTGAAAGCCGTTTACAACTCCCTGTAACGCCCAAATGGAGCGCAGCTCTTGAGGAGGAGGAGGGAAGTGTACTGAGTCGAGGGTAGACCCCTCCTCCTCCTTCTCCTTCCCCAAGGTCACGTGACCTTGGGGGTCACGTGATTTTGGGGGTCACGTGATCTTGGGGGTCACGTGACCTTGAGGACCGTGGAAGGGGTTACGTGACCTCGTGGAGTCACGTGACCTCGTGGGGTCACGTGATCTTGGGGTGCCCTGGGGGGTCACGTGACCATGGGGTGACCTTGGGAGGTGTCCCGTGACCTTGGGGGTCACGTGGCCTGGTGGTCCCGTGACCTTGGGGTGACCTTGGTTACGCCGACGGCGACGGCGATGCCGCGCAAGCCGGAAACGGGCGCCTAAGAGCTGCGCTCTAAAAAGATAGCGGACCGGCAGAACGTTCAAGCTGTGTGCTCGGCACCCACTAGGGTTTATTCCTTATGCCACTAGATAACTCAGACACAAACCGAAAAGAAACATAAGTGCGACACCAGGCAAAGGTCAAACTACGTTCCGTTCCGAAGGGAAGTCGATTTCAGCAGACTGTTGATATTTGGGCGTTGCTATATTGGACAGACCGGGGGCCTGTATAAACGACCGTGCACGTGAACATGTAGCGAACGTGAAAAACTTCGCGCAACAAGGACACCTCGCTGCCTGTCGAACTACTTGCGAATGCAAAACGAAGCTTGAGCAAGCTCCTATCATAGGGCACCATAGAAAACCAGCCTGCAAGGAAGATGTTTGAGGCCTTTGCTAGAGAATAAAAAGAAAACTGTGTGAGCTCTACCTCAATAACCCTGCGACTTCAACAAAAGCTCTTTCTGCTGGGTGTCCTTCCTGCTAAGCATTAATAGAATAAAGGAAGCAACGCGATTAAGAATAAAAAAAAAAAAACAGAAGCAAAGGGAAACGCATAGGCCCTAGTAAAAGAGGAGGACGATTTATTAAAATAGCTGGTAGTGCAGAGGTCGGTTGTCTTTACTGTTTCTTCTTCTTTTCTTGTGTAGCTGATTTCGCTCGGGACGTTTGATAACCATCAAGCTCAGCTCATCCCCGTCGTTACCCATTCTCCGCCTCACCTTTCCATGCAAATTCACTGATGATAGCTATTAGCTTCGCTGCATACTCTAGATGGACGAGCATTTCCCCAACCGGGGAGCGATCAAGCAAGAGGTTCCCGCGTATTGCCTCCTGCTGCCTTTTATGTCGAAGATCACAGAAGGAATACCTATATCCAGTGCCCTACACTACTACTCCATACTCGTTTTTGATCTGGATAGGCGTCGTATGGACGTGCAAAAGTTGCACTGCAGTGAGTAATTTTTTTTTTATTACCGGTGTGAACATGTGTCGCTATATCAGAACCGCAGATTTTAAACACAGGCGAAATTTCGCATAAAAGAATTAAAAAAAAAAACAAAAAACGCTGGGACATTGATTTTAGAAATACTTAGATCGCACAAAAGCGCGTCACAACATCGCAGTGACATGCTTACAGTTTTTTGTTCTATCCCATAGTTATGGTTCTGTTGACATATACTCTATAACGGATACTCGGTCGCGACAAAATAAGATTGCGGCAAAGTCCATGCATGCAATATACTTAGTTCTAACCTTGACTCAGCTATGTAAACGCCCGTGCAACAGAAGCATTCGTCAAGTGCACCCGCTCGCGCTTGTATCATTTTTGCAGTCAGGTGAAACAGAATATGCAGTATTTTCTTTTGCTGTTCAATTCCTGAACGGTTAGTTGTTCAGAAAAGAGTGATTACACTTCGTTGACAAGCAGTAACGAACTTTGTAATTGACATAAAAATATCGAGGGCGTCAATCTTAATCGTGTCTTTCGAGTGCAGCGAAAATTACCTGTTGAGAGGCTATCTACTGAAACTGTTCTGTAAATTCTGCTATATACTAAGTGGGTGCAATTTTCATAGTCTCAGGCTGAAATACTCAGGCTGCCCAGCACGACGCCATGGATCACACAATTATAAACCCGCTTCCCCATATGCAGGTTTAACGAAGCCGGCGCGCCGA